TTTTGGTGAGTATACAATACTTTTAGCCTTAATTTTTTCACTTATAATTCTCCATAGTAGTTTAATTCCAATAATTTTGTTAATTAGTTCAATTTTGATTAGTACCAAAATGAAAAATAATATGGTGCATATGTAACATAATCTCAATTTTTTATGGTGACGGTACGAGGTATTACACTACAAGTAGTTGATGGTCAATGCAAATAACGTACATATTGTAAAGAAAATTTAATGTGTAATTTTGAAAAGAATCGAAAAATTATTTTTATTGGGGGTTTTCACTCATTGGCCGAAACAAAGTCATCCGTTTCTAAAAGAATTTGTGGTTTGATTTTTACGGAATTTAAGAAAAAAAATAAAATATGGTAAGAGCTTGCACATTTTTAATACTCCCTTCCTTTTTTGGTCGTCCCACAATATTTGTCCACTTTCATTTTCAATTAAAAAAATTTAAATGAAATGTATATTTTCCCTCCTCTACCAACTCGTCAGTACACCTTCTATTTTCCTTCTCAACCATATACGGAATAGTCATATATTTACATCCACCCAAATCATCACCAATTTAGTGCATCTTATCCAGATCTAATCTTTCTCTGTTGACTTGCGCCACTTTGTCTTCTTCTCCACCTCCTTCGATCATCTGCGTCTGCAAATCTTCGTTGTCTTCTTGCAACTATGTCTTGGTGGCGGTGGGATGAGTTGTGCAACAGCGAACTGCGTGACTAAGGGCCAGTGGGAGTTGTGATGAGCAGTAGCGACTGGGCCAAAAGAGAGGACTTGTACAATGACTTTTTGGAATTCGGGACGGGAATTTGGGGTGGTTGTGTTGCAGCGATTGGCTGGCAAATAGTTGGGAGGGGGGATGGGTGTTCCAATCCAGTGGGGAGGGGGATGTGTATCCACGGCTAGGTTGAGGGATATGTGGTGGCAAATATGGCGGTGTCCATTATTATGGTCTGCACGGTAATCAGTTGTTGGATTGAGTAGGATTGCTAGTAGTGAAGGAGACCCAAAACAAAGGGCATTTGTGACTTTTTAGCCTATGCGTTGGTTTTTGTTCCAAAAGGAAAGTGGACATAAATTGAGGGACGAAGGGAGTAAAAATTTTAAACAAACGTAAGTATTGAAACTATAAAAAGTAACAATACACATTTACTAATGCTAAAGTAACAGACCAAACATTTACAAATGCACAAACTCACTAAATATGTATAATAATGGTTTCAAATAGGTGTCTGAAATATTTAAAAAATAAAAATTTAATTAAATAAATGATAAGTTTCTGTATTTTGTGATTGTTTTGTTTGTGAATCTAACATTATTCTGTTCTTTTTACTTCTTTTATTAGAATTAAATTTAATCAAATAAAATTAGATCATATGAAAACATACTTCAAAAAAATTCGGTTTTTTCTTTGAAACAAACGTGACATTACTAGTTTGGGGGGTTAATAGCATGGGCATTCTCTGTGGTTTACAAAAAGAGCCTCAAAACCCCTCATGTTTCCAAAAGTTATTTGTAAAGTCCCTGTGGTTTCTAAATAGAGCACACATGCCCCCCTTACCTATTTTTAAAGCAAAAATGACATTTATGCTCTTTGTAAATCACAGGAGGTGCCCATGCTATTAAACTTTTGGGTAATTTCTATTTTCTTCGTCCAACCTAATACGTTCATAGGTGGTTCCACAACGGTCACAGCCACCACCGGGAACCCCAATTTCAAATTTCAAATTTGAACCATATCGCCTTGAAACCCTCAAAAAACCGTAAGACGTTTTTACCCCTATTACCCCCATCCTATTTAACCCCATTTCTCTCCCCATCCCTCCAGCGAATCCATTTGTAATATCCAGAGAAATAAAAACAAAAAATTCCCTGAGTTTCTGTCGATCGCCGGAAGAAGATGAGAGAATGCATCTCGATTCACATCGGCCAGGCCGGAATCCAAGTCGGAAACTCCTGCTGGGAGCTTTACTGCCTCGAGCACGGCCTCAAGGTGATGAAAATCCGTTGAAATCTTGATTTATTTCCGTTTATATTTTCCTGTTTTTTTTTTAAATTTCCGTCGGATCTTATTGTGATTTTGTTTTGAAAACGGAGCAGCCTGATGGCCATATGCCCGGCGACCACACCGTCGGCGGAGGCGATGACGCGTTCAACACGTTCTTCAGTGAAACCGGCGCCGGGAAGCACGTTCCTCGCGCCGTTTTTGTAGATCTGGAGCCTACCGTCATCGACGAGGTCAGAACCGGAACGTATCGCCAGCTGTTCCATCCGGAGCAACTCATCAGCGGAAAAGAAGACGCCGCCAATAATTTCGCCAGAGGCCACTACACGAGTACGTTTCCCCTTTCCCTTTGATTTCTCCGCCTCTGAGTATCTTACATAGGTATAGATCGAACGAGTTTTCATTCGCGATTTTGGTTTGATTTTATGAAATTTTGATTGTGAATGATGAATATGTGGACAGTTGGGAAGGAGATTGTGGATATCTGTCTGGACAGGATAAGAAAGCTTGCAGATAACTGCACCGGTCTGCAAGGGTTTCTGGTGTTCCACGCCGTGGGCGGTGGGACTGGATCTGGCCTCGGTTCTCTCCTCCTGGAGAGGCTTTCTGTGGATTATGGAAAGAAATCGAAACTAGGGTTTACCATTTACCCCTCTCCTCAGGTTTCTACTGCCGTGGTTGAGCCATACAACTCCGTTCTGTCCACTCACTCCCTCCTTGAACACACAGATGTGGCCGTGCTGCTTGATAACGAAGCAATCTATGATATCTGCCGTAAATCTCTGGACATTGAGAGGCCAACCTACACGAATCTCAACAGGCTAATCTCCCAGGTGATTTCTTCCCTCACGGCGTCTCTCCGTTTCGATGGAGCTCTGAATGTGGATGTGAATGAGTTCCAGACAAATCTGGTCCCGTACCCGAGGATTCACTTCATGCTTTCGTCTTACGCGCCCGTTATCTCTGCAGAAAAGGCCTACCACGAGCAACTCTCTGTCGCAGAGATCACAAACACGGCCTTTGAGCCATCTTCCATGATGGTGAAGTGTGATCCCCGCCACGGAAAGTACATGGCCTGCTGCTTGATGTACAGAGGAGATGTCGTCCCCAAGGACGTGAATGCCGCAGTTGCCACAATCAAGACGAAGAGGACAATCCAGTTCGTCGACTGGTGCCCCACCGGTTTCAAGTGCGGGATCAACTATCAGCCACCCACTGTGGTTCCTGGAGGCGATCTGGCCAAAGTTCAGAGGGCCGTTTGCATGATTTCAAACTCAACCAGCGTCGCGGAGGTGTTCTCGAGGATTGACACAAAGTTTGACCTGATGTACTGCAAGCGGGCGTTTGTTCATTGGTACGTGGGCGAGGGGATGGAGGAAGGAGAGTTCTCCGAAGCCAGAGAGGACTTGGCTGCACTTGAGAAGGATTACGAGGAAGTCGGGGCAGAAACTGGGGATGGAGAAGATGAAGACGAGGGTGATGAGTATTGATTGAGCAATCCTTCCTTAATGGATAAGTAGCTGTTTTTCATAATCTCATGTGTTCAGAAACTTGTAGCCAATGGTCTTAATTGGTTGGTCTTTTTTAATGCTTCTTCTTCTACCTTTGAAATTTGTGGAGGTTAACTGACAATTGTTCGTGGATCCATGTTATGCAAGGTCACTTTTTCATATTACTCCATATTTTTTGCCATTAGGATTGAAAGATGAGAAGAAAAAAACATGTTACTCATCTTCAATTTTCTAACCGGTGTTCCTTTGAACTTCATTTTGCGCTAAATTTCCTCAAATAGTTTCTTAACTCGTTGAGGGAGAGAAGAGAGCATCTTCCGGTTAGAATTTGTCAAAGAACAACTCAACCAATTTAGAACCTTAATTTTGTTCTAACTTAGTTGAATCACATATACATAACCTTGACGAAGAAGATGGAGAAATTTCGAAAGAATTTAGAGTTAGGGGAGAGAAAGGAGAGAGTGAAAATGCTTCGTGGTAACATTGCATGAGTAACTTTCGTAGTGGTTTATAACTATATTAATGATTTATAGCATGTATAGTTACAAAAAATAAATGAGAGCAAAAGCTTTTATCAAGAAACCAACTAAAATAGATAAATAAAGCAATTAAAATTTAACTATGTGAATAGTAACTGGAAAAAATATTTTAAGACAGTGGGAGTAATATTCTATATCATCCTAATATATCTATTATTTCTAATATCCATAAACTATTACAGAATACTCGTTTAACTTCATATGGAGCCGCTATTATAAACATATTCAGAACCCGTTTGGTGAGTTTTATAGATAGGATAAGATATGTGTTATGAAATTTAGAAGAAATTATATGAGTTTGAAAGATATTCAAATATCCATATTGATATCTTTCAATGATAGCCGGTAGCGAAGAATGATCAACGATTGAAAGATATTCAAATATCCATATTGATATCTTTCAAATTCGAGAGATATCGAAACCCTTCACCAAGCACAAAAAAGGATTCTGATATCCAGATATATCATAACTCATATCTTGTTTGCTTACTAAACTCACCCTCCATTCTTATTTTATGCATCAATTTTATTGATATTACTTATCATGAATTATGCGGAAAATTTAGATAGACATAGCAGGTGGTTATAAGAAGTTTTGTGATAGAAATGTACCATAAGTAACTTAAAGATTGCGATTAACGTATCTATTAAATATTTTTGTCGAGATCATTTTAGGTAGACTTACAAGAAATGATTTACAGAAATGACGTGAACTTTAAGTCTATGAAGGAAGCACTCTATCCATCTGATAACTTCTTACGTGAATAGGCATGAAAAATTCTTTTTAAAAATACAATTAAGATTATATCGTAATTTATATCCACATTGTTTTGACGGGTCAGAATATAGAGAGGGTCGAGGATAGATCTTCCATTTTTTTCATAATTTTTTTTGTATGGACTCATAGAAGATAATCCTCCGAAATCATTAAAAGAATGGATAGTTCACAAAAAAAACATTTAAAAAAAAAAGAAAAGAAAAGAAAAGGAAAGAAAAGAAGAGAAAAGAGGAACGGAGAAGAAAGAGACAGATTCATCAATCTTTTGGTGTTTGCTGCATAAAAGAATTTCTCAACCCAAATCAGGTGTTTTTGGACTTTGAAGCTTCCTCTGCTTTGCTTTGCACAACGGTCCACGAGTAAGAAGATTTAGGATTCGATCTTGAAGATCGTTTCTTTAATTGTTTATCGCATAGCATTTGAAACCCTAAATTTCGTTTTGCAGAAAAACCCTAGAATCAGATCGAAAGTATTCGAGATTCGATTTGAGTTTCGGAATTAAGTGCCGGCCGAGGAGTTGCTGACGGATTAGACGAGAAATGAGTGCGCCGAAGAAGTGGAACTTTCAGATTGAGGCTTTTAAGCATCGGGTCGTGGTTGATCCAAAATATGCAGAGAAGACCTGGAGTATTATTGAGCACGCGATTCACGAGATTTACAATCACAACGCCAGTGGCCTTAGTTTTGAAGAGCTCTACAGGTTGGTGTTGATTATTTTTACACATCTGTATAAATTGATGTGTGCTTATCATGGTATATTTTGATCTTCATCTGGTTTTGATATTCTAGAGTGCTGATTGCATAAATTTGTTGTTGCTAGATCTTTGGTTTAGTTTTTGAGTGCTTATTTTTTTGCTTCCTGATGGGTTAGTGTTAATTCTCTTTTTAGCCCTCATTTCCTTACGTTCTGTTCTATGTTACACGGAGAACATGAGAAATGATTGCGAAGAATGGTTCCTATATGCTGCACTTTTGATATTAACGTCGGTTTTCATGACCTTTAAGAGATTAGATGCTGATTTCTCCTAGATGATGTTGAGTATGAAACCGTAATCTGAATGCTTACCATTTTCGCTACAATTTGAACTGGAAATGGTAATGGAGAGTACTTAAATGTTTTTGGATGAGCTTGCTTCATTCGTTTATATTTGCGTCATAAATCTAGAATTTCGATAAAGGAAGCAATATCTATTTGTTTAAACTATCATTTGTTTGTTTTGTTTTTTTCAATTGTTGATGATTTTCTAATTTGTTCACATCATATAGCTGAGGAACTTTATATTACGATTGGCTATCAGTTCATATTTTTGCCAACCTTCACGCTCAGCTCATGTTTCCTTAATAAAGTAGAAACATCATGTTTTAGTAACAATAATTCTTCACATCCCTTTCTCTTTTGATGCACATTGCACAATGCTTACTTCCTTTCAGCGATGATTTTTATTATAACAGGGTAACAACCTTTTGAGCTAGGACTAAGGTCTGCATACATCCACCCCATACCCCATTCTTGGGAGTTATTGAGTTGTTTTCATTGTCATTTAGAATAGAGAAAGTTTTAACTTGTGCATGAGTTGTTCTGTCTATGTTAGAGTGTTATGTATTTGAGTGTTTATAGACGATCTTTAAATATTCCGACCTTCAATGCTTAAGCCTTAAGGTTGAGAAAGTTTGGTGTTTCTCAGTAGAGAAAGTATATAGTACTTCTTGAATATGGAGTTTATTGGTTTGTATTTTTCTGTTATCCTTTTCTTTTCACAGGGTCCATTTGGAACTTGGAAAATGTCAGGGAGAGAGATTAGACAGTAACATATAAGGCAAAAATTAGAAGAAAAAAATAGATCATTCGTTCAAATTTAATACTATAATATATATATTTCATTTTTATTCAAATTCACATGATCTATCTATTTCTAAAAAGACCAAGAAATGTAAACATATGCAGATTACTATAATAATAATAATAAAAACACTAATCACATTTCATTTTCGGTGTCATAGCTCCAAACACAAAAACGAACATTTCTTTATCACGTTCTCCCTAACTTGAGCATATTTTGGGATCCAAACATAGTCTTAATGTGTGGCGTTTTTCAGGAATGCATACAACATGGTTCTACATAAATTTGGAGAGAAGCTCTACTCTGGCCTTGTGTTTACTATGACCGAACATTTGAAAGATATTTCGAAGTCAATAGAGGCTGCCCAGGGAGGTTTGTTTTTAGAAGAGCTGAACAGGAAGTGGGCAGATCATAACAAGGCATTGCAAATGATTCGTGACATCCTAATGTACATGGACAGGACTTTCATTCCTAGTACCCGCAAAACACCGGTTTATGAACTCGGAATGAATCTGTGGAGAGACAATGTTATCCACTCCAACAAAATCCAAACGAGGCTTCAAGACACGCTTCTTAAACTTGTGGAACAAGAGAGGACCGGCGAAGTGATAAATAGGAGTTTAATGAGGAACATTACCAAAATGCTGACTGATTTAGATATTTCAGTTTATGAACTAAATTTTGAGATTCCTTTCCTTGAAGTCTCGGCCAACTTTTACCGAGTTGAGTCTCAGCAGTTCATTGAGTCGTGTGATTGTGGACAATATTTGAAGAAGGCCGAGAAACGGCTCAATGAAGAGATCGAAAGGGTTTCTCATTACTTGGATCCGGGAAGTGAGTCAAAAATTACTGCTGTTGTGGAGAGGGAGATGGTTGAAAGTCATATGCACAGATTAGTTCACATGGAAAACTCAGGATTAGTGAATTTGATTGTTGATGATAAGTATGATGATTTGGGAAGGATGTACAATCTGTTCAAAAGGGTGTCAAACGGGCTCTCTTTACTAAAAGACGTAATGACTGCTCACATCCGAGAAGTCGGCAAGCAACTCGTCACCGATCCAGAAAAGTCAAAGGATCCTGTTGACTTTGTTCAGAGGCTATTGGATGAGAAGGATAAACACGACAAGATTATTAGCAAGGCGTTTAACAATGATAAGATGTTCCAGAATGCCCTAAACTCATCGTTTGAGTATTTTATCAATTTGAATCCTCGGTCTCCCGAGTTCATCTCTTTGTTCGTGGATGACAATCTGAGGAAAGGGTTGAAAGGGGTTAGCGAAGAGGACGTGGAGATTCTATTGGACAAAGTTATGATGCTTTTTCGGTACCTTCAGGAGAAAGACGTGTTTGAGAAGTACTACAAACAGCATCTAGCAAAACGGCTCCTTTCTGGGAAGACCGTCTCTGACGATGCAGAGAGAAGTTTAATAGTTAAGCTTAAAACAGAGTGTGGGTATCAGTTCACCTCAAAATTGGAAGGTATGTTTACGGACATGAAGACTTCGCAGGACACCATGCAAGAGTTCCATTCAGCTGTGGGCCCTGAACTAGCCGATTATCCCACACTTGCTGTTCAGGTCCTCACCACCGGATCCTGGCCCACACAATCTGTCACCCCGTGTAACCTCCCATCCGAGATTCTTGGGGTGTGTGAAAAGTTCAAGTCGTACTACCTGGGGACCCACACTGGCCGGAGGCTGACATGGCAGACGAACATGGGCACGGCCGACTTGAAGGCCACGTTTGGGAAAGGACAGAAGCACGAGCTTAACGTTTCCACCTACCAGATGTGCATCCTAATGCTCTTCAACAACTCTGATATGTTGAGCTATAAAGACATCGAACAGGCAACAGAGATTCCCACCTCAGATCTTAAGAGGTGTTTGCAGTCTCTTGCTTGCGTGAAGGGGAAGAACGTTCTGCGCAAGGAGCCCATGAGTAAAGACATTGCCGAAGATGATTTCTTTTACTTCAACGACAAATTCACCAGCAAATTCTTCAAGGTCAAAATAGGTACCGTCGTTGCGCAGAAGGAATCTGAACCAGAGAAACAGGAGACAAGACAGAGGGTGGAGGAGGACAGGAAACCGCAGATAGAGGCGGCAATAGTTAGGATCATGAAGTCGCGCCGGGTGTTGGATCATAACAATGTCGTTGCAGAAGTGACGAAGCAGTTGCAGTTGCGGTTCCTTCCAAATCCGGTGGTGATAAAGAAACGGATCGAGTCTCTGATCGAGCGGGAGTTTTTGGAAAGGGATAAAACAGATAGGAAGTTGTATCATTACCTGGCTTGACCAGAATAACCTTTCATTTCTATATCCTTCTGCATCCCATTCTATTTCATTTGGGCTGAGTTTCCCTGAAAAACTGATCTGATGTTTTGAATGAATTTCTTGAATCATTCATTTGTTGGGTGTTGTTTTATATGCAGACCTCTCAATTCAGACCCATTTCTGATGAAGCGTTTAGGATGCACATCTGGTTGTTATATCAAAAGTGGTACTGTATGTATGTAATTAACAATCAGTTTCTTATTCTGCACAAGTCACCTCTGGTCTGCAAGGTGGAAGGAATATTAGACTCCTTACCTTAACAATCATATTATATTCCTTATAATTCTATGATGTTGTATGGTGTAACAATTATATTTTATTCATTTTAATATAAGAAAATATTAGATACAAATATTTTATATACTATACAACAATAACATTACCCCGTGCCGTAGTGGCTCCAGCCCATTGTGGGGTAAGCGGGTCGGATTTGAAACAAAGAATGACTGTTTCTAAATAACCCATGATGAGCGTTGAAAATTGGATTGACTGGCTGTTACTTTACAATTGAAAGCATCTATAGTTTAAATAGTCAATTTGCTAGATTCCATCAATTCCAAAGTAAAAAAACGGGAATCTCTCCTACGTTTGGGAATGATGTTCTCGGTTTGACTTTTCCTCATTTTTAAGAGTGCTTCACTAAGGCTATAAAATGATTAAAATATACTTTAAATAATTTGGGAATGGGGTTACCAGCTGGCCGAAATAATCTAAAGGGAAAAACTATTTATAATCATAAGGGGAGGTATGAGTTTCTTACATCAAATCACGCCCATAACCAAAAATCCAAAAAAAATTATATTTCCTCCTAATCTTTTAATCACCTGCCCAAAACAACATCTAGAACCCATTCAAAAGGGTTATTACACCACCTTAAAAAGCTCCAGCCGTTTCCTTTTTCAGCAACACCTTTTTTCATTCAAGTCTTCTCCTCTTCTTCATCTTCATTCCCTTCTTCATTTCCTTTGGTTTTCTTTTTTCCTCTCCATATTCTGGTGCCCTGCATATATAAAGTTTAATGAACTGTGACATAAACACGAAGAACTTGGACAACACCACAAGAAAACTTATTAGTGATACACTACTTACACATTTAAAATAAAATCTAGATGGCTCATTTTCACCTTAGTATGGACACATCAATAAACTTGCTTCACATTTTAGTGTGTGCAAAAAAAGAGTCGACAACATATGGGCCATTGCAAAAAATTATAATTAGAGCATGGGATTGCCATTGTTGTGAGAAGCAGGGTTGCAGGAAACAGTGGAAGGAAGAGGGCTGTCATGGATTTAAAAGCAGTTGCAGACACTTCCTGAGGAAAATGACTAACTTGAGAGCACTGGCAGCAACCATTGAGAAGTCTAAGTCAAAAGCTCATGAGTTAGTAAAAAGAGGTATGCTTAGGAGCCATTCTAATGCTATCAAACCATACCTAACAGATGCTAATAAGATTTCAAGGTTGAGATTCTATTTAGATCATGTAAATCCTTACAACATGGTTAGCACCCCTAAGTTAAGAGTTTTAATAATGTTTTACACATTGATGAGAAATGAGTCTTTATGTCTAAAACTTCCAAAAGATTTTACCTTCTTTAAAATGAAGTAGACCCATACAGAGCATGTGAATTTGAAAGATTCATAACTAAAGTCATGTTCTTATGTGTGATTGGGAGTCCATTTTTTGGGGGAGAATGGAGAAGTATTGTGGAATGGGAAAGTAGAGATATTTCATTTCACAGAAAAACTGAAAGCTAAAAGGATGAGCAAGAATATGGCAAAAAGTGTGGTGGAAGTGAAATTAATCACGAGTATTACCAAACAAATCACAAAAGATATGCTAATCCATAAAGTCATTCCACATATCAAGAAAATTGGCCATCACAATTATCTAAAAAAAACACATTCAGCAAGATAGTGCAACGCCACACATTCAAGGAATATACTCAGGCTTTGTGGTAACAGGTAACACCAATGAATTTCACATCACTCTAGGCAACCAACCCCCTAACTCCGAAAACTTAAATATGTTGGACCTTGAATTTTTCAGAGCAGTTCAGTATTTAAAAGAGCAATGTTCTCATATCAAAATGCTTGAATTGTTAGAGATAGCGGAAGGAACATATAATGCTCTAACCCATGAAACCCTAAATAAGGTGTGGTTGAGTTACCAGGAGGTATTAACTAAAGCCATGAAACATCGAGGCAACAACTACAAACTACCCCATATGGGGAAAGATAGAGGGTAGCGACACTTCCTAACTATTTGAGCATAAACCTAGACGTAATTCAGAAAATAGGCCTACCAATATAGACATGGTTGAATTCAACACCGAAGAGGGAGAGGAGTACCTATGTTCAGAGCTGAACTAAATCCAAAGTTGTAAGCATGCTTGTTTTTTGGTTTTTTAAGTGGTTACCACGTTTAGTTTTTGGATATTTTTTTCTAAGTGGTAGCCACATTGGGCAGAATGGTTTTTGGTTTTTGCACTTGGTAATACACTGCCATATATGTACTCACATCAAGGTAACTACATACTATTTGCTCTATATATAACTTTGTTTATAAAAAATAACAGCAACATATAATTTTCATAAGCCCTTTCCCATATCATCATTGCTGATTTTGAGACGTTTGGTACTCAAAGTCATTCCATAATTAGAAAATGCTCATCACAGTACACATTTTTTCTTATACAATGTAAATTTCACTCTTCACAGAAAGTGACCAAAGATGGAATACATGCACACATACACATTGACGATCAATGATACAGTGAGACCATTAAGGTGTATATGCTTTGGTACTCAGAGCCATTTCAGAACTTCAAAAAGCACATCATAGTACTTTCTTCTTTTCAAACAATGCAATTAGTAGTCCTCATAGAAGTTGGCCAGAAAATATCTTAGAGTCATAGGCAGAAAACATGCAAAAATACACATTGAACAATCAAAGTTTCAGAAAGACCATAGAGGTGTGTATGATTTGGTACTCAGAGACATTTCACAATTACAAAATTCTCATCACAATACACACTTAACATAATCATCATTGAATCTGGGCAATTAAGATCATAGAGGCATCATTTTATAACATGCACATACACACATTCTCTGGTTAACACAATCAAAGGTTCACACTTCACAATTCATTGCACAATAAAATCAGAAAGATTTATAGTGAAAGAAAAGTAACTTCTCTACTTGTACTTTGAAGCCCAAAAGTTTGGATTTGGGATGGGCCCTAATATGTTTAGCATATCGATGTGGAGGTGCATGCTTGAGTTCATCCATGGAGAAGTTCGATTCTCAATAATTTCAAACCCCTCCATATCATTATTATTAGTATCGGCATCATAAGTGTCATCCTCATCGCTCCCAATAAGAATAACACAATCTTCCTCAGCTTCAAGGACGGTTACCACTTTCTTCTCTCTGGGGCAACATTGGCATCATCATCGTCGCTGTGGATGAAGATGACCTAGTCCTCTTACTTGGCATCAGAGATGAATGTTTCGTCAACTACCTCGCAATCCTCACTTCCACCATCTTGAAACTCCGTCTCAAGAACACAAGAATCGTAAAAAAAGTCATGTGATTCCATGAAATGGGGCAGAGATGTATAGATCTTGGAGAGGAAGGGGAGTAATCTAGGGTTTGGGAAAAAAGTAGAAGGAGCGGCCGATAGAGCGTAGATGAGGTTAGATCTAAAGAGGCGAGAGTCAATGCGAGAATGAATGCATTTGGTTGAGGGGTTAGGTAGATAGGAAGAGTGAATATGAGGATATTAAATGAGAGGGGTATTTTAGGGAGACTTGAGATTTAAAAGTAGAATGAGAATGTCATTTCTAGATGAAAAAATGTACTTAAAATAGTTCGGGGCCGGGTTGCCCTGTGACCTGTTTGGGTTACCTTCATGGACGGATAAGGGCATGATGTTTAGCCGAGATCTAGTCGCGGGCTTGATAGAAATCAAGATAAAAAATTACCGTCAGCTTGGATCCGCCTAAATCTGTGTTTGTGTAGGTCTAAGCCCAAGTGTGATATTACGTCTGTTAAGTGAGTGTAGTCTGCGATGGTGTGATGCTGAAATGGTTACACATTTGGTGTGAGAGCAGTAACGTACTACAAATAGTCTTATGCAAAATAAATATTTAAATAAGTCAACAAAAATAATTAAACCACTACAATATTAAAAAGAAGGCATCTAACTAAAGGCGAAAAGATTAAATTCGAATAAAAAAGAACTCATCTCTATGTAAGGGGCTGTTTGTTTCAGCCTCTTAATGGTTCAGATGTCTGAATGGTTCAACACTTAATGGTTCAGATTGTTTGTTTCAGCCTCTTAATGGTTCAGATGTCTGAATGGTTAAGAGATTTTGCCTCTGAATGGTTAAGTATTATACAGAGTCTGAATAGTTAAGACCTCTTATCTGAATTGATCAGACATTTGCCTCTGAATTGTTAAGCAATATACTAGCTCTTAATGGTTCAGACCTCTTACTGGTTCAGCACTTAATGGTTCAGACCTCTTACTGGTTCAGCACTTACCTTTTCAGAAGTTGCCAAACAACTCCTAAGTGTTTTAAAGTTTCTACATTTTATACTCCCTCCCCAAATTAGGTTACAAAATTCGAAAAACATGCAAATCATATGTTTTTAAATCTAATTTATTTAGAGATTTGTACTGCGATAAAAAATACAAATTTAAATATTACCTGAAAAATTCTACAAAATAAGTGTTGATAAGAATATTTTATTTTATCAAATGATTAATACAAATATAAAAACAAATAAAAGTTATATATCAAATGACCTAAAATATCTGAATATACAATATTGCTGTATATTTGTCGTATGAGCCCCTGCAAGTTACGTAGTACCTTTACTTAGATAATAAGAATAATACTCCGTATTATAACGAAAACATTAACATCACAGCCCCCAATAATAATAACCAAAATAAGAATATACTCCGTAATAAAGAATGCACGTAAATAGTTTTTTTAAAAAATTGCTGCCTAGGGCCCAATATCAGAGGGGACCCTAAATGTTTAATATTCCGAGTTTATAAAAAAACCAAAAATACATTTATTATTAATATAATTATTATTACTTGCCTAGTTGTCTTTGAAAAAAAGAAGAATATAATTATATTCTTCTTTTAACGCTAGAGGAAGGGGTTGAACCTTCGACCTTGTGGTTAACAGCCACACGCTCTAACCAACTGAGCTACTCCAGCTGTGTTTCGTGGTAATCATCAAATGTTAATTGTCATTATTTCACTAATCCATTAAAACCAAGAATCACACGATACAATGAAAGATTTATTACCTCCGTGTATTTGTTTAGTTTTGACTTTTTTTAATAAAAATTAACAAATTGTGACCATGACTTAAATAAAAATAATATTAGAAATTGATGTAAAAACATTTATAATGGATTTAATTATAAAATATTTTAAAAATATCATTTTATTTAAAGAATATAGCATTTAATTTTACTTTAATTAAAGGTGAAATGTTAAAAATAATTTAAATTAAAAAGTTAATGATAGACAAATACTCAGAAACGAGACAATCAAAAATTAAATTCCAAATTTGTTTTACTGAGATAAATAAGTTAGTATTTTTTGAAGGGAAATAAGTTATTGAATAACATCAATACCAACTTAGTCGGATTCCAAAAAAAGTTGTGTCTATGAAGAATTTGTTTACGTAGACCTTACTCCTAGTTGAAAGTAGAAAAATTATTTTTAAGAGACCTCCAACTCATGCATCACACAGCAAATAGGACAACAAAACATAATAAAAACAAAGGATAAGAAGATTGCAATGAGCTAGGAAACACTAACACTAAGGCTATGTTTGGAAAACAACTTTTCGGATAGCTTTTGACATCTTTGACTAACTTTGGCTTGTTTGACTTATCAAAGCGCCAAAATCATTGTTCGGCTAATGGCTTTTTCACTTGGCTTTGTGATCCGAAATTCCAAAATCCGAAAAGCCAAGGGGAGTAGGGGTGGACACGGTACGGTTCCGGGACGGTTCCGGTTCCGGAACCGCCGGTTCCGGTACCGCCACCCCAAGTAACCGGAAATGTTACCGTGCCGGCCGGTACCGGTTCCGGTTCTCGGACCGGCGGTTCCGGTACCGGACCGGCCCGGTTCGCCCCCCCTATTTTTTTTTGCTTTTTTTTTTAATTTTTAAAGTATAAAATTGTAAATTTGCAATTGTTTAAGGAAAGAATGAAATAAAACATCTAAAATGTAGTTGTTATTTAAATATTGAAAATGAGTAATACACTAACTGAAGAACAACCATATTTAATATCCTGACGGTTCAAAAAAAGCAACGAGGTAAAGAACCGTAAAGAAACCCTCGAAGGAGCTTATATATCGCTCACCTAAAAAAATTAATTACATATTTACATTAACATAAAAAAATTTATAACTTATTCTTCTAGAACTTGCTATGTACCGACGTCTTGCTAAGAGCCAATCTTGGTTGCAAACCAATGTTTCAAGAGATTCAGCGTTAAGACAACTTCGGTAGTCGGTTAGAATGTTGCCGCCAGCACTGAATTCTCGTTCAACTGCTACGGTTGATACTGGGACGGACAACACTTGTCTTGCTAGCATGCCGAGACATGGGAACATGTGTTCGTTCCGCTTCCACCATCCGAGCACGTCAAAATCGACATCATCGTCATCGTAATCGCATGGCACACCCTGGTACATAGCAAGTTCGTTGTGCGAGCTTACTGTTGTACCACTTGAACTCGTCGAAGACTGGGCATGTTTCCCTTTCTTTGCAAGAAGCCCACCGACTATGCCGGCAAAACCTTTTTTTTATTTCGGGGGCGGAGGTGGTGCTGTTTTTTCTTGTACAGTACCGTATAACCCTTGATATTCCTTAAAAAAATCCTCAAAAAGAGTTATAACAGTATCTCTTTCATTTTTCCATTCTACTAAATAGCTGTAGTAATAACTATTTTTATCTAAAAAACAACTGTAGTAATACTCAATTAGAATTTTAAAATTTTCAATCTTAAATCGTGGATCACAAATAATACCTATTTTATAAATATCAGGAATGTACAAATAATAAGTACACCATTTATTTCTCATAGGAGAGACATAAGGGTACAAATCTGGATCAGCCATACTTTCACGAAAACATGTTGCGATTGTAATGCACTCTTTAAAAAATGTATTTGTAGTTGGTTGGTAAACATGGGAAAAAGTAAGAGTTGCGTTATTAAAAAACTTCTAATATGGCATTCAATTTTTCAACAATAACAAATTCAAAAGGATTAATGATTATACGAAGTTCATCCCTAAAAAATTCAGCAAGTTCCTCTTTATATCTTAGGATCTGTGCAATCAATTTGTAAGTACTATTCCATCTAATGTTGATATCTCTGGTAAAACTTATTTCTTTTTTACCCTTAGACTTACAGAACATCTTCCAGGATCTCGAAATAAGACGAGCCCCCCAAATTTTTTTAATTCCTTCTTTAATATTTGTCAAAACTCCGCCCATAGCTTGTAGTCCCTGTTGAACACATAAAATTAAAACATGACAGGCACACCGTTGATGCAGAAATCTACCCATAGTCGTAGACGGTGGGCAAATTTCTCTAAGTCTAGGAATAGCAGCAGTATTATTAATAGCATTATCAAAACCAAATGAAAAAACTTTTTCAGATAAGTTATATTCCCGCAGAATACTCTGAAGCAATAGGAAAATATTTTCAGCAGTATGCTGATCATTGAAATCACGAAATGCAAGAACACGTTTATGCATAATCCAATCACTATCTATCCAATGACAAGTAACACCCATATAAGACAAATTATGATAAGTTTCACCCCAAATATCAGAACAAATAGCAACACGAGAATTAAAATTGAGAAAAAAATTTGCCAAATTAATTTTTTCCATTTTATACTGGCGAATAATTTCTCGTTTAATTGTTTTTCTTGAAAAACCTCGTGCTTGAGGGTTNCACTTCTTGTCGTCCCTTTTTTTTGGCCTCGTATTTGGCGTACTCCACGGGATGCCTCGACCTTAGGTGTTTTTCCGGACCGCCATAACCGCCGGAAACTCCCATTTTTATGACGGTCCCGCAATGTTTACAAGTTCCATAAACTATGCCATCTTTTGTGTCTTTGTCAAAATGATAAACAAATAATTCTGATTTATATTTTTTTTACCTTTGTCCGGACCTCGAGAGGTCTCGGGCTCACCTGCCTCCACGTCGACGTCGTTGCTTTGCGGTGTAGGCTCATCGTCCCCGTCAAGATTATCCAGTCCTGCTTCATCAACATCCTCGAATAGACTATTAAGAGTGGGGAGATTCGCGGCTCCTCTACCAGAATAAATCTGGTTGAATTCTTCATCCGTCATAGCGTCCCCGATTAAATGATCTGGGACAGTAGGAAACGAAGAGACGGAGTGTCTTCCTCGAGAACCGTGTCCGCGTGAGGTCGAACCGTCGGAGGTGGCTTTAGCTTTGCCTTTACTCAATCTTCGGTTGACGTCGCCCATATCCACGGACCGTCTACCGATCTCCCTCGACATTTTAATATATATTTTTTTGATATTAAAATATTATATTACTTTTGGAAAAATTAAAAAAATTTCGAAATTTTATATATTAAAATTTCGAAAATTTCAAAAAATAAAGAATATATTTAAATTATTTAAAGATTAAAGAATATATTTAAAAATTAATAATATTTAAAATTTTGAAAAAATTGAAAAAATTTCGAAATTTTATATATTAAAATTTTGAAAATTTCAAAATTTTAATGTATAAAATTTTTATAGTATTATATGAATATTAAATGTATAAAAATTATTCTCAATTTATATTGCATATTAGCATAATGAAATACAATTTTGAAAGTTCTCAAACTGGACAGTTTGATTTTTTCGAGTCAAACTGGACAAACTTTGAGCTTCAATTAAATAAAAACCGTAAAGTATTTTAATATAAAAATGACTTTATTAGATTTAACGTATTGAGAACTTTCAAAATTGTATTTCATTATGCTAATATGTAATACAAATTGAGAGTAATTGGAGTTTAAAGTTTGTCCAGTTTGACTCGAAGTCAAACTGGACAAATAATCTGGGACGGCGGTAGTATTGTTTTTATTATATATATTCATATAAAAATGGAGATACTAATGGTTAAGGTGTCGCATTGAAAACCGTGAAAAATCAAATAAGAAGTTAATTTTTGGATGGAGGGAGTAACATAATCCCGTTTGGACTAAACATTCCGGGTGTCAATTATCAATTGGAAAATGTACACACTAACTGATAGTAATAAAAATATAAATTAAATGAAATTTAATGTGACGCTGATGTAGAACAGAGCAATAATGAAATAAGAAATGTATGAAGTATACCTTCTACTCTTCCACCCTAATTAAAAATACTCTTTCAAAACTATGGAGTACATCTTAAAACGAGTTTACTTATATTAAATTTATTTTATATTTAAATATTTTTTATAATTTTTATTAATAGCTAATTTACATCAATATCGATTTAATATAAGGATTACGACCTTGTTCTTTTGGCTTGAAATTTCAAAGTTGAATGTTGGAAAAATCTAGAAGGAATTGAAATAAACTATAACGAATTAGAAAAATATTAAAAAAAATTAACTATTTAAGTATTTAAAAATCACTCAATTAAATGATCATCCAGATAAATATGTAAGAAAATTCTAATTCTGAATAAAAGGAACCCATCATTGTCTGTGTTTGAGATGATATATTCTAAATTTGGATATATATTGTTATTGTATATGAATCATACACACACACACCATTTTAAGTCGTTTGTGGAAGAAATTGAAAGGAGTTAGAAGGAATTTAATAATTTATAAACAATTATTTTTAAAAACAATTTGTTGCAGGTAATTAGAACAAAACCATTACAAATAAGTTATGATTAATTTAGGTGAAGATACAACAAGGCCGGCCTCGAAAAATGAAAAAATGAAATTGGTCCGAAATTTTTATTTTGGGCCCTATTTTTTATATTTTAGAATACTTATGCTTTAAAATTAAAAATGAATTTAATAATATGAAGCCCTAAAATTTTAGGAGTCATGTGCGATTGACCACTTTGCACACCCTCCGGGCACTCATGAGATACAATAAGATTCGGTTAATGCGGAGTAACACCCAGCATTTTATGTTTAAGATTTAAGTGAAGTACCAGTGTAGGTCACAAGGTATCAGTGATGCGGGGATAGCTCAGTTGGGAGAGCGACAGACTGAAGATCTGAAGGCCGCGTGTTCGATCCACGCTCACCGCAATATAATATTTCCAGTTTTTCTCCCATTTCTGCCCCGCAATTTCTCTCTCTCGGTTCCGCAATGATAAAATCTTTTTTCTCTTCTATTAAAAACTTAAAATTATTAATTTTTATTTTATATATAAATAAGAAAGGAAAATAATTTAATACCCGGAGTAATTATTTTATCAAATAAGTAATAAAATACAAAAAATGGAAATTCAACTTTCAAAAAGTATGTGCAACTCTTTTTGGGATGGGGAGTAATTGTACTACGAACAGTATAAAAAAGATCAAACATAGTGGGGCATTAATTTTAGTTATATTACACACTTTAAACACTTAGGAGGTCTACTCAATCTGGATTCTACTAATACTTTTTGGATTTAAAAGGTCTGTAAATATTCAATAAGATTTCATTAATTAATTAAATTTAAATGAAAATTATTTATTAAATAAAAAATTACATTCAATAAATATGAGCATTAAATTAAAAAATTACATTAAAAAAACTAAGGCAAATTGTATTTAGCATTGATCTCGTTTTATCTTCTCTCGTAATAAATACGTTTGAAGCTCAAGAAAACCCCCTAAATAGGAGTAAAACATGTGTTCTATCCTCAAAGTAGGAGTTTAAACTTAAACTCCTCTAAATAGGAGTAATTAATATTTTTGTTGTACAATTGTTTAGCCGCCGGGAGCCACCCATTTACTGCCTTGGTGAAAATTAAATGAACATGACTTCTTCAATCCAAGTTAATTGTTTAGCCGAAACAATCCAAATTAATTGTTTAGCTGCCGGGAGTATATGGCTAGCTATTACTTCTTAAATCCAAACTCTTTCTATTTGTTTTCTTTTTTCTTTTTTGGGATTCTTTTTTTATTATTATTGGTGGGGGTGGAATTTTTTTGTTTTTTTGGCATTGAGCTAACAATGGAGAGATTGTGTGTTTATTTATTTTAATTGTCTTCTTCCCATAATTAATGACTTCGTGGGCTCGATGTATGCACATGTATCACCGAGTACAATTGAACTTTTGGCATTTTGCAGAGCCACGTTTGTCAATGTGCATTGACATCTTTGGTATTTTGTTTTCAATTAACCTAAAATTTTGTATTTTTACATCTTACAATGTCATGTTTGTCATTGTATGTTGTCATTTTTAGCATTGTATTTTTGATTGACAGTGTATGAATTATTTTTTTTCTCCATGTAACACCATGGCCCTACACCTGTGGGGGTTAGCGATGCCGACAACGTGCGACGATAACAGATCTTGGCGGCGGCAAACGGTGAGTCAACAACTCCTATTTTGGGGGTTTTATGTTTTTACTCCTATTTTAAATTTTAATCAATGTTTTACTCCTATTTTACTCTTTAACCCTTGAAGCTCATTAACGTATCAAGGTCGGTTTCAATTATTTTTAGTTCCTCCTTCTCTGTCCTTCATTTCTCCCTCTCTTCTACCGTAATATCGAACACCCGTAGTTGTTCAATCATTCCCCGACTGATATCGTTGCGAGAAGAAAAAGAGTCGGACCCTGTAGAACCTGAGTCAATTGATTTTGTCTTCTTTCTTCCGATCAGTTGTGGAATGAGGTCCTTGTCATTGGAGTCGTCTAAGATGGTGGGAGGCCTTTGTTCTGACAAGCATATAGTAACCTCGGTCAGGGGTCTTTTCTTTAATGATCCTGCCTCGGGGTTTTGAGTTGTTGCCATTTTGGTAACGGCTTAAAACTCTCCACAAATCAATGGGAACTTTGCCTTGGCGTCTGTCGTCTTCATAGCGCGCGGTGGCTTACCGCAGAACATCAGCATCGTCCGTCCTGCTCTTCCTGGACTGAGAGCATTCCTCGTAAACTCCGATAAATTTTTGGAGTTTTCAGTTGATGTGGCCTCATTTGGAAATGAGTTAGTCTCGGATTCAGTAGGAGGTGTCCTTGTTCATCGCCGTAAAGAACTTTTCCTCGATATGATCTCACATCGCATCCTTCATTTCATTGAACCATTAAGAAATATATAATTGAATTAAAAAAATATTTTTTTATGAAAAATGTATAAAAAAGAACATATATAAATATATGTTAATAAAACATATAAATTTTATCAATGATAAGATGTCCAAGAAGTCGACCCACACGAACGCCAACAATATTTCTTCCTCTGGTATCCACTTTTGAATGGACTGTGCTGCCTCGGTCATCAGCTTTTCGACTTTCGGTTTGTGACTTTTCCGGCGTGCACTTTTTTTTGTGCACTTGGTTCCGGTTGCGACTTCGGGTCCTCTAGATATACCGAGGTTTGCGTATCAAAAACGCAGGATTATTCTTGTATGTTTGGTAAAGCCATATCAAGTACTCGTTTTGTTCTAGACCGGACGCAGGAACGGAGGAACCAAAGGGATTCATGATAAAAATAAGTGAAAAATTTAAAGATTCTTATTTTTAGAAAGAAGAGAGATCGTATTTGTGTGTTATTTTTTTTAAAAAAAAAGAGAATGAATTTATAGAGATTTTTTTAAAAAAGAGGTAACGGCATCATAGTAAATGGTAAGTGTTATCAAATAAATTAAAAAATAAATTTGGTACATTAAGTAAATGGTACCATTTAAATGCAAAAATAAAAAAATTATAAATTAATACTATTAATACTATAAGCATGGAAACATGTAACAATGGTAAGTATTCTAAAACTAATGCTATTAATACTATAATTTACAAGCATGGATACATGTAAAAATGGTAAGTGATCTAAAATAAAATAGAAAATAAATACCGTAGGGTACATAAATGGTACCATTTAAATATGAAAATAAAATTAAAAAACTAAAAATTCCAAAATAAATACATTAATATGTTGAATTATTGCTTAAATAAGTCAAATTATTGAATTATTGTCAGGGACAATATGTGAAACATGTTAAATTATTGTTACGGAAACCGGTATTTTGTCATGGGCAACTGTGTGTTGCAGTTTCAAGATTAATAAATCGCAATGACTTAAAGATTTTGATATACAACGAAATGATTGCTTACACGAATTTTACGAGTAATGTAGATTTTAAAGAAGTCTTTCGAAATTTGTAAATCATTTTACTTTTGTACTTTAAAATAATAAAGTCTCTACATTCCATTATATACCAATTTATATTCCTAAAAATGATCTTAATTTATTAACGTAACTATGACCAGTGCAACGCACGGGTGTGATACTAGTAGTCATTGGAAGGGAGAGGGCCTGCTAATCAATTGCTTCATTTGCTCATTAAACATTTGACGCAGAGCATTTGACACCTGGATAACGCACGCGCTGGGGGACGGTGTTTAATGCCCCATAATATCGAAAAATGTTTGTGGTCGTCACTGGTATATTTAGTGCCCTTGTACATGTTCTTCACTTAAGTCTTTAAAATAACTGTTTTATAAATAGATATTACTCCCTCTATCCCTATTTTGTAACGCTTTAGAAATTGGCCTTTTTATAAATAGATATTACTCCCTCTGGTAGACTTTTTATATTTTTGTAACGCTTTAGAAATTGGCCTAAGAGCTAGCAACATACTATTTTTAATAAATAGATATTACTTCCCCTATCTCTATTTTGATTACAAATTGCGGAAAACAAAGAAAAAACTAATCAATATAAAATTAAAACTAAAATTACCTCCTTTCATACTAGTACTATTTAAACCGATTTTGAAGACCCTTAAGATGAACTTCATCTTTTCACTCTTTGAAAATTTGGTTAGAGATTAAGGGTACACAATTCGGAACCCCTAAATGGGGATTAACCCAAAATCAAAAGAACAATACCGACAGGCCCACGCTTGGGTTGTTGGGTTTATCACGGGAATAGGTTTAAGACTTTAAGGGCATAAGGGATAACAAATAAACAATGTGTCCCTCACACTAAGTACTAACAAAACAAAGACTAGTGACTTTTACCAATGACCAGTCACCATTAAATAAAGCCAAACCCATTCCTAGTTAATTAATCACAGACAGGGCATGTGCCCTAAACCTCACTTTTTCACATTAAATAATTGTTGAAGACTTGTAGTTAGGGGCAACCTCCTTAAAAGGTAAGGTATACCACATGAAACAATACCCTCACACGCCTAATTATCTTTCTCAGCAGAGATACTCACATGTTTTGAGTGGTTGCAGCTTTGCATCTTGCACTATAATTTTGTTAGAAAATTGCACTTTGTCAAACACACTTGTGCCGAAAAGCTTTTACAACAACGTCGAGCATAAAAACTCTAGTATGGATGGTACGAATTTTAAGTGACTGAATTTTCCTATGTCAGACGAAAATTTTAATGAACGTTGAAAATGTGTTCGGAGACGTGAAGTACACGTCCATTCAATGATGTTACAAATTTTTTAGCAAGGGTCAGAGGTGGTGGCCAGTGATGGACCCATGATGTTCGGGTAGTAGGTTTTGATAAACACAAAATTTCTAATAAGTAATTGGTAGAGCATACTTTTTACCTTGGTGTATTAGTAGTGCTCTCTATTTTGTGTGGATGTTTACTATGAATATCTTTTTTTGCTAAATTTGTTCAATTTGATGTTTTCATGCTAATAGATTGTTATAATATATAATACGTGTTAATTAAACATTGCTTTTATACTTTGTACTCGGTATTTATTAGAATTTTATCTTTACTCCAGAGTATGGAGTAATTTGTTTCTTGTAAGCCTGCAATTTTCATTAAACTACAATCTACTCTGTACATAGTATTAAAAAAAATGTTCTGATTTTTTGGATTCTACTTTCGTTCCTTCCTTTAGTGCTTATCATTATTATATGTATTTAATTGATGATTTTGCAAAATTCTTTTGGTTATACACTTTAAAACAAAAATCTATGGCGTTTGTGGTTTTTCAAAGTTTTTCGTTTTTTCGAATCGATAATTTGGCCTCTTTTTACAACGCACGCCTTGGAGTTCTTCACTAAAATGTTTCCCTACACCTACACGCAAATAATATGCGGTGGTGGAACTTTATAAACACCATCATCTTATTGAGATTGTCATCACTCTTCTTCACCCCTCTCACCATCATCAACCGACTTCCAAAAAATCTATTGCCAATATCTCTCTTTTTGAAAATTTATACCATCACTAACCTTACAATTAGGAAAATTAGTGATTTTATGATAATACGAAACAAATAACACAAATAATGAAGGTTCTATCCCTATACCATGATCTCATGTCTGTGTTTCTTTTAGCATTCGAGAGTATGGAAAGCGATAAAGAAGTAGAGATCGACTCACAATGAGGAATAAAGAAACTTCACATCCTCGCTCCAATCGCGAACACTCTCATTGGAAAAGAACTCAACAAACATACCCTCAAGCTTGTTCTCATGCAACAAAGATCCGTCTCTCTACTATTAATGATTATCTCGAAATTGCTTTTGCACGCTTTATTCCAGTACCTGCGCTCCAAGCTGCTTTTCGTTACTGATGATCAGCTTGCGGGGGATATTTAAAATACGAGTGATAATAGGAAACAAATAAAATTATTAATTATTTTCCTTATTCTATTGCTTCTATAATTGTTATTCAACTATGGTTAGAATTTTTTTTTGTATTCCCTATATATAGGAATAGAACCTCTGCTCGGAACAAGTATTATATTAGTGGCAGTCTATGGATGATGTGTTTGAGGCATTATAGAGATAAAATACATGGGTGCTAATTCCACCTCTGATTAATCAGTATTCAATTGGGTGCAAGTGGGTTTACCATATAAAGCGTAATTCAAATAGTTTGGTCTCCCGCTATAAAGCTCGCTTTCTATAAAAAGGCTATGATATGGAGTATGGTCTTGACTATTCATAAACCTTTAACCCGATTCTCAAACAACAGACGATTCGTGTTGCGCTTACTTTATCCATACATTACAACTAGCCTCAATCAGCTAGATGTCTATAATTTCTTCTTACGTGGTGAGTTTGAGGAAACTACCTATATCACTCGGTCTCTTGGCTATATTGATCGACAGTATCCTCAGTATGTTAGAAATCTGTGTAAGTCCTTGTATGGTCTTAAACAGTCACCTAGAGCCTAGTACCTCTACCCCTCCTCTGTTCTTGCTCCTAGGGTTTCACTACCATGACTCATGACACCCATCTTTTCATTAAGCATTCTTTCCAGGGGACTCTCATTTAACTGCTATATGCTGATGATATTGTTATTATTCGATCATCGCCTGCTCTTATTTAGGTGTTAATTCAGAGTATACATTGAAAAATTTAGATTAAAGGTTTGGTCCTTCAAATTGTAAATAAGTTTGTTATATGCCTCACAAGATATTTAGTTTTCCAGCTAGCTAATCTTTTGAAACATGTTGGTTTGTGAGCAAGTTATTGATGGCTCTATGGCGGCTAGACATGTCTTCTCAAGAGACTAGTTAGTTGATTTTTTAACAAAGCCGTTGACATTCCAGCATTTTTAGCTCCTCGTTCCATGCTTCCTATCACTTCTGCTGACTCTGCTTGAGGGGTATATTAGATAGAATATTTAAATATTGGAAACTACTCCGTATTATTATCAGTTCCCATATAGTTCTAAGTTTCCATCTCATACTCCCTCCGTCCCAAATTATTTACAACGTTTGCTCTTCCAGCAGTTGCGGGAACTTTTGTTTATTTCTATGTTTTCATTGGTTATTTGATAAAATAAAATACTTTTGACACTTCTTATTTCGAAGAACTTTTTATGTAGTTTTTTGATATGTAATTTTTATTTTTTATTTCTATACCAATATGTAAATAAAATGAATTGAAAAAACTTAATATTTTGTTTCGGGAATACAAGTATGACAAATATTTAGGGATGGAAACCATACACTCTTTTCCTAACATGGTTAGAAATAGTGTTTGTGTGGTGTCTATTAACCATACACATTCATCTTTGAACAAAAAGAGCAAAAAACAGATGGGTGCATATGTCACTTCGGTTACTCTTTACTAAAACTCATGAAGTTATTAAAAAAGGGAGTCTTATCAATGTGGGCTTGTTCCCAATGGAATCCACACATTTTTCATTAAAAGGAAAAGTTAACTAAGTAATCTCTTTTTTTTATTTTTATGAAAAAAAGAGGGGGTGTGGAGTAATCATTTTCTTAATCAGTGCCCACCCACCAAACAGCCCCCCACCCACATGATACATCCTCCAAATGATTTTTTTTAAAAGGTCTTATCAGATGTTGGTGCATCATGAATTTGGTCTAACTTTAGGCCAGCATATCACTAATTTGTAACCAAATTTATTCAATTAAATACCATTTCTACTTCCTAACCTTGCCCTATTTAGCATTTGATTACACTTTAAGGAACCGTTAAGTACTCTTAAGCAACCACTTTAATGGCAATTATTAATAAAACTACTACTAAAAATGACTTGCAAAATCTTTACTTAACCACTCTTAAGCACTATTATGTCCGGTTTCGAATAAAGATTAAAGAATGCTTTTTTCCTATGTATGTTTTCTTGAAGAAACGATGCCCAGAAAGTGCTTAATTAAGCTCAAATTTTAACCAAATCTGATCAGAATAGCCTCAAGAAACAAGAAAGATTTGAATTTGAGATGATTTCAAGAGAGAGCTGATAAGAAAGTTGTGGTAATTTACAAGTCAGGATGAGAGAGTGAAAAATAAACAAATTTTAAAATTGATCATCTGAAACGATGCTCTGCAGATTATATCCCTCATCATCATCATCCTCATCTTCATCAAACTCATCAAACTGCTGAATTAGAACAGGGAAAAGAAAGATCTGAGAAGAAAGAAAGAAAGAAAAAAAGACCCTTTTTTTATTGTTCTCTGGATTTCGCCGGCCGCCGTCAAGACGAGGATGACGACCCATTGGCGCCGTGGCCGTCGCTGTTGTGGAGGCCGTAATTGTCCTGGCTGTCACTGTTGCTTTCTTGACGAAGATTGAATCGGGAGGAGTGTGGGCCCGAGTCCAGATTGTGACAATTCATGCCGCGGATGTCGAAGCCGTTGTCGTTGGCTGCGGCGGAGCCGCCGTCTCTCTTTCCGACGGTGTTCTTGTTGTTGTGCATCCAGACTTTCAGAACGCCCCTCTCTACTCCAATTTCGCGGCAGAAATTGTTGATCGCGTCTTCGTCTCGCTTCTGGAACCTCCACCCGACTCCGGCGGCGAATTCCAGCATTCTATCTTTCTGATCTTGGGTAAATTTCGTTCTGAACCGCTTTCTGGATTTCGGAATAGGTGTGGGGAAAGCGGATGGGAGGTTTGAGGGGGCGGGAGCGCCGGAGATTGGGGTGTTGTTCTCCGTCGGGTGCCCGGCGGAGAGGCCGGTGCTGAGAGCGAGGAGCATCTGCGGGGCCGACGGGTAGTACGACGAGGAGATCGGCGGCGGAGATGGGGAATTCGGGCTGTCGTTGTCAAGTCCTCCGCCGCCTCCTCCCACCACCGCCACCACCCCGACCATTAGGTCTCGACCCTGCCGCGAGACGTAGACGTCCCCGAGAAGGCCGAGTGCCGCCACCTTCAAGGCCACTGTGGGCGTCCGCCGCGTAAAGTCCCTCCACCCCAGCCGCCCTCAACTTCAACCCCTTCCGTACTTGAGGGGTGTTGGCAGGTGGCGCTGGCCGCCGAGAGTGGCTGCGTGGTTCTTGAGACACTCCTTGTAAACAACCACCACCGCATGGTGGCGGTGCAGCGAATTGTGACGCTTCAGTACGCCGTTGCTGCTAAAAGACAGCGGCTTTACTGCCCCCGGGATCCGACCAGCAGCCGGCGGCGTTTCTTTCTCCTGAACCTCCACACTCTTAACGGCGGCGGAGCCGGCGGCGTTCGTGGCCGGAAGATTGCTGCTTAAATCCATTCTCTACTAAACATCAAACAGAGGGTCACTCTTAATTAACACCTAGCTAATAAGCTAGCTGTTTTTTTTCTTTTTTTTTTCTTTTTTTATATTATAAAAAACTTTTCCAAGCTCTTAAGAACATTTGATTAGTTTAGGTTAAAATTTCATGGAAAAAGAGATAAGAGATGAACAAGATGAAGAAGAGAGAAGCATTGGAATTATGAAAATTGAGAATTGGGATTTTGTTTTGTAATATTAAAAAAAAATGGAAGATGATGATGGGTAAGGAGATGGGAGATGAGTAATTAATTTTTTAATTTTAAAATATTTTTAATATAAAAATTGAATACTTCTTTCGTCATGAAGTATTAGTCTAGTTTTGATTTTTTAGATACAAACATTTGACTTTAATTAAATAAAATTTACCTTGTATATAGTTTGTGAATTAAATAAAACAATACTTTTAAAACATTTTACAAGATAAGCTTGATGAAATAAGTTGTTATCTATTATCAATTTTTTTTAGTTTTTTGTTATATTTTGTAAATTTTAATTACAAAAAATCAAAACTAGACAAACAATTGAAAAAAATACTAACGTAGAACTAAAACATTTTAAGATATACTAAAATAAGAGTTCTATATTTTATTCTTAAAAAAGAGATAAAATGCATTGAGAGTGACAATCATAAACATACATCATCAAAAAATATTGTGAAATATAATATACAATGAAACATTACTACAATGCATTTTAACTTATATTTTGATATTTTCTTTATGTTTACTCCAATTTATGATGATTTTTTCAAACACTTTGGAAAAAACATAGTAATAAAAAAACAAATCCTATTTTTTTAATTAGTTTATTCTGAGTTACTTTTGACTACAAAAAATCAAAACTAGACAAACATTTTTGCACCCACCCACATACACATATAGTAATAAAAAACCAAATCCTGGTTTTTGTGGTCGTCCTTGTTAACCATTTTTACGTAATTTCAGTTCTGATGATAATATTTTTTTATTATAAATTTGTTAAATTATTAACCCTGGTTGGTAGAATAGATGAATTAATCCATGGTTAGGTTAAGGCATAGGCAGGTGGTGGTGGGTGTGGTGGCCCACAACAGTGGGGAGTTTAGTGCTTCTGACATCTGTGTAATAAATGAGCTGAGGTAATTAATTACTCATCTACACAAATTGGGATCTCGTGGTAAACTTGATCTCCTACCATTAAAACACTACTCCCTATTGAAATTTGTTACGGGCTGTTTTGAGGTTTTACTCTCTCCGTCCTAAAACTTTCTTTCCAGATTACTATTCTAATTTTACAAAAATTTATATTTATTTGTATTTTTTCATTCCTATATGATAAAATAAAATATTCTTGTCATCACTTATTTTGTTGAACTTTTGATGTAGTTTTTAAATATGTATGTTTTATTTTTTATTTCTATACCAATATTTAGATAAAATAGATTGAAAAAACTTGAGATTTTTCTTCGTTTTGTATAACGGGAAGAAAGTTTTAGGACGAAGGGAGTATCATTTACTCTTGATTTTTTTTATAAATTGTACAGATTTTCTTTAATCTTAAAAATTATACCAATACTCTGAACTTTTAAAAATATTCACCAATGGTTCTCCTAAGACCTAACACTAGATTTTGAGGTACGTTAATCACACGCACATCACTAAAAGTATTGAGAAGTATCTATATATAGTGTCACATTTTCACTATGTAAATTTCTACTTTGAGGTAAAAATATTTCTTGATAATTTATATATATTTTATTTCTATTTAAGATAATTTTTTTAAAAAAATAAAAAAACTTGGAGAACCCAACCTTATAACAAGTATAACTAAATGAGCCAAATAGCTCCAATGCCCCATGTGGTTTGTAAAGTTGACACTAATATTTCATCTGTTTTCAAAATTTCTTTCTAAAATCCTCGTGGTTTCAAAACGTTGCACCCTCATTTTCCGGTCATTTTCCTCCGAAGATGGGGCATTGACGCATAATTTCTAAACCATAGGGGGCATTCGTGCTCATTTCTTATTTTCGTTTATTATTCTTCCCTTTTTTGATATTTTCTATCTCTTTTTCCTTTCCTAGATTTTTTAAAGATATATTTTCAATTTTTTATAATGTTTCAAAATTTTAAAATTCTTTGTGTTTGAAATAAAAATAGAAATAAAAAAATTAGTATACATTACATCTATCTCAAATTAAACATTTTCATTTTTTGTTACTTAGAATAATTTTTTGGAAATTAAAAAAAACCCAGCATAAAAAAATAAAATATGGAAAATCAAAATGAAAAAATTAAAATACGCAAAAAAAGTCTTATACAAAAAAAATTGGACACGCCTAAAAAGTCCTTAGAATTGAGATTTCCAAAAAGTACATTCATTTTTATTTTTGTATTATTTTGTTTCTTATTTTATTCCTCATTTTTTGAAGTTCTAAAAAAATTACTTTTTTTTATAAACAACAAAAAATTGTTAATTTGAGACGTACATATGCATTATATGTTAGTTTTTCCAAACAAAAATAACTTCAAATTTTAAGAACATTATAAAAATAATTTTACAAATTTTTTATTAATAAATGAAACAAAAAAGGAAAACAATGGAAAACAATTTGTGAGAAATAAAAATCAGCACTGATACCCCCTTATGGTTTAAAAAATATGCACCAATGCCCCCTTCTTCGCCGGAAAAATGGCCGAAAATTGATAGAAGGGGCATGGGTGCAGCTTTTTAAAACCATATGAACTTTAGAAATGAGTTCTGAAAACAGAAGGAGTATGGGTGCATGTTTTGCAAATCACGGGGAATACCGGCGCTATTTGGCCCAACTAAATGTACACCAAAATAAAAGCAAACATACAAAGACACATAATGTCTATTAATGCACAAATATTAAATGTCTATGCATGCACATGTATTGATGTTTGTACATATTAAACGTCCCAAAACATAGCGTAAAAGTTAATTTATGATAAAAGTAATTTCAAAAATATATTTTGACCGAAGAAAGTTTGATTTCTATGTTTGACCGAAAATGAAGGAAAATTTTGGAGTTAATGACCTTTTGCTGAAATTGAGTTTTATGCCTATGTTTCGAAAAGACGAATCCAACTATATGTTTTATGAACAAATCTGATTTATAGATTTTGAGTTATGACATTTTTAAAATATTAAAAATATACTACGTAACGTGTATAAAATCATTAAGTGATTAATGATGAACTTTAGGAAAATGATTTATTGAAATAAATTATTATATTGAGTAATACTCCCTCCATCCTCCATAGATTTTCCCATTAGCCTTTTTTATTTTGTCCACCATATATCTTCTCATTACCTTTTCTTAAGTCTCTTTAAAGGCCATAAAAAGTCAAAATAAAAAGATCTTAAGGGGACGGAGGGAGTATTAATTAAATATGAGAATACATTTTTATGCATATGTCAACTAAATCAATTTTGACTCCATCAATGTCAAACACCCAAAAATATGATATCAAAAATAAATATCAGAAAAATATGAAAATTATATCATTTCGTAGAGCTTGAATGAGAAAGAATTAGTCAAAATCACCAAGAGGCGTGTAAAACTTCCCAGGATCGCACAGCTGCTGAAGATCGCCGAATGAGGATTTGAAGAAGACATCCCATGGCTTCTTCCCCATTCTCTTCCTATATAGGGAATGGAGTTCCTCCACTTCTCCACCAATCTTCTTCGTTCTTCTTCCTATAATTTCAATAGAGTATAGAGACTAGGCCGCAAATGATCACCACCGACGAAGTCGCTGGAGCTAACCATGGTTGTTGCCGGAATTTTTGCCAAAATGTTGAAATTAAACAAAAAATATGTGCAGATCAGTCCACTTCTAGGTAGTGTATGACCCTCTAAACTTTATTATTTGCATATGGTGTCTTCACAAAAGTTAGCCTTATGTCTTACAAATCTGTAGCTTCAAACGATTCCCGATTTTCATGAGTAAAGAAGGAGATATGACCCAAATACCAGTACTGGTTATCTTGTCACGGGAATGACGAATTTCGTGGATTCCGATGTTGTTTTCACTCTTGTTCGTTCGTTGAGCCTCATGTCTCGTTGATTCCCAGGTTTGTACCATGATTTTAAATAATATTAGAAGGCCTGGGATGGTCCTTGAACATATTGATTCATATATATTTGAAAATATAAATATTTTTATAATCATAATCACCAAACTTGTTTTTGTTGTTAAAGCTTCAAATAAATTGTTTAAAAATTGTCTATGGATGTTAGAGACTAGGGTTTGAGGATGGCAGATTCGTCCAACCGTGATCTACAGGTCGCAATCCAAAAGTGAGATTGGTGACCGGTCAAATTGTACGGGTCCCGAAACTTCATTCCTCAAAGTTTTATAGAAAGTCCAAGATAGGGACCGGTCACCCAACCCGAGGGGTGACCGGTCATCCAACAACTTCTCCAAAATGGCCTCCAAGGTTCTTCTGATCTTCGAAGATCAAAATTGTGACCGATCACCTAACTCACGAGGGTGACCGGCCACCCAATATCGCCCCCAAAATAGTTTCTAATGACCATCCTTGAAGACCAAAATCGTGACCGATCACCTTAGTTTTAGGGTGACCGGTCACCAAACGCGGGGCCAAATAGCCGCCTAGTTGAGTCTCGAAAACTCAACTCGTGACCGATCACCCGACCCCACGGTTGACTGGTCACCTCGGTACTCACAGGTACACCTAGGTATGTAATATACCCATCAGTTCTGGATAATCATTCTTCACAAAATTCATTTTATTTTAATTCATTATACTTTATATATTCAAAATTACATCAATATACTTATAAAATAAAAGTTGATATTGTTATGTTATTTTAACAATTGGTTAAGAACAATTTGTATATTTTTATTAAGTATTTGATAAAATAAAATGTTATTGTCACCTCTCGTTTTATAAAATTTTTGATGTAGTCTTTTAATATGTAAATTTT